CACACACACACACACATACAATAACACACACACACACACATACAATAACACACACACAACACATAACACACACACACACACGCACACAAACACACACACACACACAAACATACACGCGCACATACACACACACACACACACGCACATGCATATATGCCATACACTGCGTGCGCGTGTATGTAAATAGCGTGAGCTGTAGCATGCGCACGCATACCTCTGCCCTCCTCCCGTGGCGTGTTGATAGCCTCCTGTATCTCAGCGTGCCTTCTATCATGCCGTTGGCGTTGTTGTTGATACCACTGGCTGTGTGGAAGTTCAGGTCCCATTTCATAAAACACTCTAACAGACTCGTCAGTTCTAGTACGGGTGCCTCTTTCGGCGGGATTGCCCACAAGGAGTACCTGCATGCAATAAAGTGCTGGCATGTATGAATATAAAGCCGTTGCCGGTACGTTTTACCATTACGTTTACCGTTTCGTTTACCGTTACGTTTACCATTACGTTTACCGTTGAGTTTACTATTACGTTTACCAATACGTTTACCGATACGTTTACCAATACGTTTACCCGGTACGTTCACCGTTACGTTTACCATTACATTTACCGTTACGTTTACCGCTACGGTTAGCGTTACACTTTATTTTAGCTTTTCTTGTGACAGGTGTTACTAAAGATTCATGGGGTGTTGGCACCTACAATTGCACTGGCACAGTTGTGTGTAGCCTTACTATGATAGGCAGTACACCCATTGAACGAGGTGCTGGTATAAGAATATACTGACACGTCTGTCTGTAGGTGTCATACAATTGCACTGGCACAGCTGTGTGTAGCCTTACTATGATAGGCAGTACACCCATTGAACCAGGTGCTGGTATAAGAATAAACTGACACATCTGTCTGTAGGTGTATCTATCACTAGCAACGGCTGCAATAGATGAATGCACCAATACATTGCCATGTAGATGCACTTCAGACAGGCGGCCCACACAATCCATGACACGCTGTCATCTAAAAATAGACTGGAGCTTTCACAGAGACCGAATGTCTAGGAGGTTGGATGTCATTGTACGTGAAATAAGGTGTCAAAAACATGCACCGATGACGCATTGTTACACTAAACATGTCAAGAAAGTGAGAAGATTCACGGCCATGTGTACGGATTTCAAAGTACACACACACACACTCACTCATCAATAACTGCAACGGAAACCATATGTCGAATAAACAGCTACCCCATCATCACACCCACAGACAGGCAACCATTCGTTGTGAACACACTCAGATAGACCTAAAGAATATATCTACACACAAACATAACTCACATGACGGTGTTGAGATTCCATTGCTTCTGAATCAACAAGAACAGTGCACCTATCTACAGGAGGTGGCGGGGTGCCCTCAGTTTATGCCAGACACTATTCTAAGAGACACAGATACAAAAATCTGTAGATATACGACACATAGTCAAGACAAACTACACACACACACATATATATATATATATTCTACACATACAATATAGATTGGAGGTGTACCTGCTAGCGGTTGTGGGATCTATGGTGCCTGTTGGCTGTTCGGCTGTGAGCCATTTGTCTATGGGGCGTGGTGTCCATTCGGCCGCCACTCCAAGACTGAGTGTGCCTCCGCTAATGCTGTTACTATTCGATAGTATGTGCGGGGGAAAGTACGCGACCGGCGTACGTTTATACCTACGACCAATCGGGTATGTCCCGATAAGCTGTTTCAGATATCTGCGTGTTGGTTTGGTGGAGGGATGGGTCAGACACCTGGTGTCATACAATGGGGAACAATCACAGGGTGGCCACGCACGACAAGGCTATATGTAACGGTGTATATGAATAAATATACTGGGTACGATACAGCCCCACCATAGAGATATAACGATAGATTGCACTCGGGAAGCTCTCGGTAGTATGTGTGAACAAAGAATCGGATGAGAGGGCACGCGCAGAGCACCACTGAACAATCTGGCCATAGAGACTTACCGTGGCATATAGAGACTCATATGCATCCCAGACAAGTAATTTAAGAGAGGCCATGGGTTTAGGAATCAAACACACACGCACAGACACACACACACACATCCGTACCTAAACTCGAACCCACATCCGCACATGTGACCAGGAACGTGCGCTGACATACATGTTTATGGCGGTACGGATGTGTGGCAATCATATCTAGAAACGTGTACAGATCCACCACTACTTCAAACCAATGAATGGGTGACCACTCGGGTAGACGTGTACATAAAATAAGACTCTCCCAAAACATCTTTGACACTTCTGATAAGAATGTGTACACAAGGTACGAGAATTTTAGTGACGCTTCAAATTGTCGATTCGATTCTTAGTCACAAAATAGGCAAGCAACACTGCCG